TTTCAGTGGTCGCATTGGTTTGATTTTTGGTGTGCTTGTAGGGCGCTGGCACCCGCATTCAGTGACCCAGAAAATTTGGCACTGCTGTGAATAATTTAGTCGCAAAGTGAAGATTCACGGGTAAAAAGCCCCAAACTTCTAGATAGGTTCTTTTTCAGCTTTCAGCAGCCCTGGGTGAGTTCTTTAGAGAAATGTGGCTCTTTTTCATGGTGCTATTTTCTATGTCCAGCTACACAACGAGATGAGGATGGTCATTGTCATTTTCTGAGCTGCGAACGGGCAGAAAGGTGAGAAAATGTCGGATTTTGACCATTTGTGCTGACCTTTCAATTTCAACGTACCTCTCTATAACATAACCCAGCTGCAATTTCAGTGGTCGCATTGGTTTGATTTTTGGTGTGCTTGTAGGGCGCTGGCACCCGCATTCAGTGACCCACAAAATTTGGCACTGCTGTGGATAGTTTAGTCGCAAAGTGAAGATTCACGGGTAAAAAGCCCCAAACTTCTAGATAAGTTCTTTTTCAGCTTTCAGCAGCCCTGGGTGAGTTCTTTAGAGAAATGTGGCTCTTTTTCATGGTGCTATTTTCTATGTCCAGCTACACAACGAGATGAGGATGGTCATTGTCATTTTCTGAGCTACGAACGGGCAGAAAGGTGAGAAAATGTCGGATTTTGACCATTTGTGCTGACCTTTCAATTTCAACGTACCTCTCTATAACATGACCCAGCTGTAATTTCAGTGGTCGCATTGGTTTGATTTTTGGTTTGCTTGTAGGGCGCTGGCACCCGCATTCAGTGACCCAGAAAATTTGGCACTGCTCTGGATAGTTTAGTCGCAAAGTGAAGATTCACGGGTAAAAAGCCCCAAACTTCTAGATAGGTTCTTTTTCAGCTTTCAGCAGCCCTGGGTGAGTTCTTTAGAGAAATGTGGCTCTTTTTCATGGTGCTATTTTCTATGTCCAGCTACACAACGAGATGAGGATGGTCATTGTCATTTTCTGAGCTGCGAACGGGCAGAAAGGTGAGAAAATGTCGGATTTTGACCATTTGTGCTGACCTTTCAATTTCAACGTACCTCTCTATAACATGACCCAGCTGTAATTTCAGTGGTCGCATTGGTTTGATTTTTGGTTTGCTTGTAGGGCGCTGGCACCCGCATTCAGTGACCCAGAAAATTTCGCACTGCTGTGAATAGTTTAGTCGCAAAGTGAAGATTCACGGGTAAAAAGCCCCAAACTTCTAGATAGGTTCTTTTTCAGCTTTCAGCAGCCCTGGGTGAGTTCTTTAGAGAAATGTGGGTCTTTTTCTTCGTGCTCTTGTCTATGTCCAGCTACACAACGAGATGAGGATGGTCATTGTCATTTTCTGAGCTGCGAACGGGCAGAAAGGTGAGAAAATGTCGGATTTTGACCATTTGTGCTGACCTTTCAATTTCAACGTACCTCTCTATAACATGACCCAGCTGTAATTTCAGTGGTCGCATAGGTTTGATTTTTGGTTTCCTTGTAGGGCGCTGGCACCCGCATTCAGTGACCCAGAAAATTTGGCACTGCTGTGAATAGTTTAGTCGCAAAGTGAAGATTCACGGGTAAAAAGCCCCAAACTTCTAGATAGGTTCTTTTTCAGCTTTCAGCAGCCCTGTGTGAGTTCTGTAGAGGAATGTGGCTCTTTTTCATGGTGCTAATTTCTATATCCAGCTGCACAACGAAATGAGGATGGTCATTGTCATTTTCTGAACTGCGAACGGGCAGAAAGGTGAGAAAATGTCGGATTTTGACCATTTGTGCTGACCTTTCAATTTCAACGTACCTCTCTATAACATGACCCAGCTGTAATTTCAGTGGTCGCATTGGTTTGATTTTTGGTTTGCTTGTAGGGCGCTGGCACCCGCATTCAGTGACCCAGAAAATTTGGCACTGCTGTGAATAGTTTAGTCGCAAAGTGAAGATTCACGGGTAAAAAGCCCCAAACTTCTAGATAAGTTCTTTTTCAGCTTTCAGCAGCCCTGGGTGAGTTCTTTAGAGAAATGTGGTTCTTTTTCTTGGTGCTCTTGTCTATGTCCAGCTACACAACGAGATGAGGATGGTCATTGTCATTTTCTGAGCTGCGAACGGGCAGAAAGGTGAGAAAATGTCGGATTTTGACCATTTGTGCTGACCTTTCAATTTCAACGTACCTCTCTATAACATGACCCAGCTGTAATTTCAGTGGTCGCATTGGTTTCATTTTTGGTTTGCTTGTAGGGCGCTGGCACCCGCATTCAGTGACCCAGAAAATTTGGCCCTGCTGTGGATAGTTTAGTCGCAAAGTGAAGATTCACGGGTAAAAAGCCCCAAACTTCTAGATAGGTTCTTTTTCAGCTTTCAGCAGCCCTGGGTAAGTTCTTTAGAGAAATGTGGCTCTTTTTCATGGTGCTATTTTCTATGTCCAGCTACACAACGAGATGAGGATGGTCATTGTCATTTTCTGCGCTGCGAACGGGCAGAAAGGTGAGAAAATGTCGGATTTTGACCATTTGTGCTGACCTTTCAATTTCAACGTACCTCTCTATAACATAACCCAGCTGCAATTTCAGTGATCGCATTGGTTTCATTTTTGGTGTGCTTGTAGGGCGCTGGCACCCGCATTCAGTGACCCAGAAAATTTGGCACTGCTGTGGATAATTTAGTCGCAAAGTGAAGATTCACGGGTAAAAAGCCCCAAACTTCTAGATAAGTTCTTTTTCAGCTTTCAGTAGCCCTGGGTGAGTTCTTTAGAGAAATGTGGCTCTTTTTCATGGTGCTATTTTCTATGTCCAGCTAGAGAACGAGATGAGGATGGTCATTGTCATTTTCTGAGCTGCCAACAGGCAGAAAGGTGAGAAAATGTCGGATTTTGACCATTTGTGCTGACCTTTCAATTTCAACGTACCTCTCTATAACATGACCCAGCTGCAATTTCAGTGGTCGCATTGGTTTGATTTTTGGTGTGCTTGTAGGGCGCTGGCACCCGCATTCAGTGACCCAGAAAATTTGGCACTGCTGTGAATAATTTAGTCGCAAAGTGAAGATTCACGGGTAAAAAGCCCCAAACTTCTAGATAGGTTCTTTTTCAGCTTTCAGCAGCCCTGGGTGAGTTCTTTAGAGAAATGTGGCTCTTTTTCATGGTGCTATTTTCTATGTCCAGCTACACAACGAGATGAGGATGGTCATTGTCATTTTCTGAGCTGCGAACGGGCAGAAAGGTGAGAAAATGTCGGATTTTGACCATTTGTGCTGACCTTTCAATTTCAACGTACCTCTCTATAACATAACCCAGCTGCAATTTCAGTGGTCGCATTGGTTTGATTTTTGGTGTGCTTGTAGGGCGCTGGCACCCGCATTCAGTGACCCACAAAATTTGGCACTGCTGTGGATAGTTTAGTTGCAAAGTGAAGATTCACGGGTAAAAAGCCCCAAACTTCTAGATAAGTTCTTTTTCAGCTTTCAGCAGCCCTGGGTGAGTTCTTTAGAGAAATGTGGCTCTTTTTCATGGTGCTATTTTCTATGTCCAGCTACACAACGAGATGAGGATGGTCATTGTCATTTTCTGAGCTACGAACGGGCAGAAAGGTGAGAAAATGTCGGATTTTGACCATTTGTGCTGACCTTTCAATTTCAACGTACCTCTCTATAACATGACCCAGCTGTAATTTCAGTGGTCGCATAGGTTTGATTTTTGGTTTCCTTGTAGGGCGCTGGCACCCGCATTCAGTGACCCAGAAAATTTGGCACTGCTGTGAATAGTTTAGTCGCAAAGTGAAGATTCACGGGTAAAAAGCCCCAAACTTCTAGATAGGTTCTTTTTCAGCTTTCAGCAGCCCTGTGTGAGTTCTGTAGAGGAATGTGGCTCTTTTTCATGGTGCTAATTTCTATATCCAGCTGCACAACGAAATGAGGATGGTCATTGTCATTTTCTGAACTGCGAACGGGCAGAAAGGTGAGAAAATGTCGGATTTTGACCATTTGTGCTGACCTTTCAATTTCAACGTACCTCTCTATAACATGACCCAGCTGTAATTTCAGTGGTCGCATTGGTTTCATTTTTGGTTTGCTTGTAGGGCGCTGGCACCCGCATTCAGTGACCCAGAAAATATGGCACTGCTGTGGATAGTTTAGTCGCAAAGTGAAGATTCACGGGTAAAAAGCCCCAAACTTCAAGATAAGTTCTTTTTCAGCTTTCAGCAGCCCTGGGTGAGTTCTTTAGAGAAATGTGGCTCTTTTTCATGGTGCTATTTTCTATGTCCAGCTAAACAACGAGATGAGGAAGGGTCATTGTCATTTTCTGAGCTGCGAACGGGCAGAAAGGTGAGAAAATGTCTGATTTTGACCATTTGTGCTGACCTTTCAATTTCAACGTACCTCTCTATAACATGACCCAGCTGTAATTTCAGTGGTCGCATTGGTTTGATTTTTGGTTTGCTTGTAGGGCGCTGGCACCCGCATTCAGTGACCCAGAAAATTTGGCACTGCTGTGGATAGTTTAGTCGCAAAGTGAAGATTCACGGGTAAAAAGCCCCAAACTTCTAGATAGGTTCTTTTTCAGCTTTCAGCAGCCCTGTGTGAGTTCTGTAGAGAAATGTGGCTCTTTTTAGTGGTGCTAATTTCTATGTCCAGCTGCACAACGAGATGAGGATGGTCAATGTCATTTTCTGAGCTGCGAACGGGCAGAAAGGTGAGAAAATGTCGGATTTTGACCATTTGTGCTGACCTTTCAATTTCAACATACCTCTCTATAACATGACCCAGCTGTAATTTCAGTGGTCGCATTGGTTTCATTTTTGGTTTGCTTGTAGGGCGCAGGCACCCGCATTCAGTGACCCAGAAAATTTGGCACTGCTGTGAATAGTTTAGTCGCAAAGTGAAGATTCACGGGTAAAAAGCCCCAAACTTCTAGATAGGTTCTTTTTCAGCTTTCAGCAGCCCTGGGCGAGTTCTTTAGAGAAATGTGGCTCTTTTCTTGGTGCTCTTGTCTTTGTCCAGCTAACCAACGAGATGAGGATGGTCATTGTCATTTTCTAAGCTGCGAACGGGCAGAAAGGTGAGAAAATGTCGGATTTTGACCATTTGTGCTGACCTTTCAATTTCAACATACCTCTCTATAACATGACCCAGCTGTAATGCCATCGGTCGCATTGGTTTCATTTTTGGTTTGCTTGTAGGGCGCTGTCACCCACAGTCAGTGACCCTAAAAATTTGGCACTGCTGTGAATAGTTTATTCGCAAAGTGAAGATTCACGGGTAAAAAGCCCCAAACTTCTAGATAGGTTCTTTTTCAGCTTTCAGCAGCCCTGGGCGAGTTCTTTAGAGAAATGTGGGTCTTTTTCTTGGTGCTCTTGTCTATGTCCAGCTACACAACGAGATGAGGATGGTCATTGTCATTTTCTGAGCTGCGAACGGGCAAAAAGGTGAGAAAATGTCGGATTTTGACCATTTGTGCTGACCTTTCAATTTCAACGTACCTCTCTATAACATGACCCAGCTGCAATATCAGTGGTCGCATTGGTTTCATTTTTGGTATGCTTGTAGGGCGCTGGCACCCGCATTCAGTGACCCAGAAAATTTGGCACTGCGGTGGATAGTTTAGTCGCAAAGTGAAGATTCACGGGTAAAAAGCCCCAAACTTCTAGATAAGTTCTTTTTCAGCTTTCAGCAGCCCTGGGTGAGTTCTTTAGAGAAATTTGGCTCTTTTTCATGGTGCTATTTTCTATGTCCAGCTACACAACGAGATGAGGATGGTCATTGTCATTTTCTGAGCTGCGAACGGGCAGAAAGGTGAGAAAATGTCTGATTTTGACCATTTGTGCTGACCTTTCAATTTCAACGTACCTCTCTATAACATGACCCAGCTGTAATTTCAGTGGTCGCATTGGTTTGATTTTTGGTTTGCTTGTAGGGCGCTGTCACCCGCACTCAGTGCCCCAGAAAATTTGGCACTGCTGTGGATAGTTTAGTCGCAAAGTGAAGATTCACGGGTAAAAAGCCCCAAACTTCTAGATAGGTTCTTTTTCAGCTTTCAGCAGCCCTGGGTGAGTTCTTTAGAGAAATGTGGCTCTTTTTCATGGTGCTATTTTCTATGTCCAGCTACACAACGAGATGAGGATGGTCATTGTCATTTTCTGAGCTGCGAACGGGCAGAAAGGTGAGAAAATGTCGGATTTTGACCATTTGTGCTGACCTTTCAATTTCAACGCACCTCTCTATAACATGACCCAGCTGTAATTTCAGTGGTCGCATTGGTTTGATTTTTGGTTTGCTTGTAGGGCGCTGGCACCCGCATTCAGTGACCCAGAAAATTTGGCAATGCTGTGAATAGTTTAATCGCAAAGTGAAGATTCACGGGTAAAAAGCCCCAAACTTCAAGATAGGTTCTTTTTTCAGCTTTCAGCAGCCCTGGGCGAGTTCTTTAGAGAAATGTGGGTCTTTTTCTTTGTGCTCTTGTCTATGTCGAGCTACAGAACGAGATGAGGATGGTCATTGTCATTTTCTGAGCTGCGAACGGGCAGAAAGGTGAGAAAATGTCGGATTTTGACCATTTGTGCTGACCTTTGAATTTCAACGTACCTCTCTATAACATGACCCAGCTGTAATTTCAGTGGTCGCATTGGTTTCATTTTTGGTTTGCTTGTAGGGCGCTGGCACCCGAATTCAGTGACCCAGAAAATTTAGCACTGCTCTGAATACTTTAGTCGCAAAGTGAAGATTCACGGGTAAAAAGCCCCAAACTTCTAGATAGGTTCTTTTTCAGCTTTCAGCAGCCCTGGGTGAGTTCTTTAGAGAAATGTGGCTCTTTTTCATGGTGCTATTTTCTATGTCCAGCTACACAACGAGATGAGGATGGTCATTGTCATTTTCTGAGCTGCGAACGGGCAGAAAGGTGAGAAAATGTCGGATTTTGACCATTTGTGCTGACCTTTCAATTTCAACGTACCTCTCTATAACATGACCCAGCTGCAATTTCAGTGGTCGCATTGGTTTCATTTTTGGTGTGCTTGTAGGGCGCTGGCACCCGCATTCAGTGACCCAGAAAATTTGGCACTGCTGTGGATAGTTTAGTCGCAAAGTGAAGATTCACGGGTAAAAAGCACCAAACTTCTAGATAAGTTCTTTTTCAGCTTTCAGCAGCCCTGGGTGAGTTCTTTAGAGAAATGTGGCTCTTTTTCATGGTGCTATTTTCTATGTCCAGCTACACAACGAGATGAGGATGGTCATTGTCATTTTCGTCAGGCGAAATTACTGGTCAGTCGGCGTCACGCATTTTTCACAAAAATTTGCGTTTCACCTGCTGTGAGAGTATGGGTGTACTCGAGTCTCATCCTGAGCACGTTTTTTTCTTCTTTTTTTCAGCTCCAGTATAGCTGTATTTTTCATTGCAAAGCCGTCCTCGATTGTTGTGTTCGTTGTTCAAACGAAGTGGACATTCAATCATGAAGGCAGAGGACATTTGAGCCTGATTGGAGTTTCTCGTGGCATAGGACGGCCACACAGAGACACTTTGGGATTTTCTGAATATAAAATACCGTACGCACGATGCCAGTGAGATCAATTTGTGCGATATCAAATTGTTTGTGATCTACCACATCGAGCAGAACGGGATCCAAACACAAGCTTACCGACGGTTAGGCTGCCGACCTGACTGGACAAATGATCCCTGGCTTCACCAGACGCCAGACGTCGGACACCATGTCCTTTGCCGCGACGTCCATCTCCAAAAAGAACTCCATCTTCGTCGTGAAAAGGCTTGAAATACTCAATATTCAACCGAGATTCGCGGTCTCACCCTTTCTCAGATCGAATCATTTTTTGTTGTAGCAGTTGCAGGGCAGATCCCCGCCACTACTTCAACAGAAGATGGCTCCAAAGCATGCCTGGAACAAGCCATATCGAGGTTGCAAGCCACCCCTCTCAGCACTTTTTTTGAAGAAATTCGAAATTTCAATGGTGGAAGATATACTATGAAGAGAATTTCAAAAAGTATATTTCGCGGAGCGATCGCTCAACCTACGTCATTCAAACTTTGCAGGATGGTTCAGACGTACATGCTAGGCATGGAATCACAGAAGATGATATCATAGCTGACACACAGAGTCACACACACAGCAGATTCGTGTGCACAGATACTAAATCAGTGGACGTCGTCATCTTCTTCCCGCTGATCTCAAATGTACGATGACGTGCTATTTCGCCTGACGCTGAGCTGCGAACGGGCAGAAAGGTGAGAAAATGTCGGATTTTGACCATTTGTGCTGACCTTTCAATTTCAACGTACCTCTCTATAACATGACCCAGCTGCAATTTCAGTGGTCGCATTGGTTTCATTTTTGGTGTGCTTGTAGGGCGCTGGCACCCGCATTCAGTGACCCAGAAAATTTGGCACTGCTGTGGATAGTTTAGTCGCAAAGTGAAGATTCACGGGTAAAAAGCCCCAAACTTCTAGATAGGTTCTTTTTCAGCTTTCAGCAGCCCTGGGCGAGTTCTTTAGAGAAATGTGGCTCTTTTTCATGGTGCTATTTTCTATGTCCAGCTACACAACGAGATGAGGATGGTCATTGTCATTTTCTGAGCTGCGAACGGGCAGAAAGGTGAGAAAATGTCGGATTTTGACCATTTGTGCTGACCTTTCAATTTCAACGTACCTCTCTATAACATGACCCAGCTGTAATTTCAGTGGTCGCATTGGTTTGATTTTTGGTTTGCTTTTAGGGCGCTGGCACCCGCATGCAGTGACCCAGAAAATTTGGCACTGCTGTGAATAGTTTATTCGCAAAGTGAAGATTCACGGGTAAAAAGCCCCAAACTTCTAGTTAGGTTCTTTTTCAGCTTTCAGCAGCCCTGGGTGAGTTCTTTAGAGAAATGTGGGTCTTTTTCTTCGTGCTCTTGTCTATGTCCAGCTACACAACGAGATGAGGATGGTCATTGTCATTTTCTGAGCTGCGAACGGGCAGAAAGGTGAGAAAATGTCGGATTTTGACCATTTGTGCTGACTTTTCAATTTCAACGTACCTCTCTATAACATGACCCAGCTGTAATTTCAGTGGGCGGATTGGTTTCATTTTTGGTTTGCTTGTAGGGCGCTGGCACCCGCATTCAGTGACCAAGAAAATTTGGCACTGCTGTGGATAGTTTAGTCGCAAAGTGAAGATTCACGGGTAAAAAGCCCCAAACTTCTAGATAGGTTCTTTTTCAGCTTTCAGCAGCCCTGGGTGAGTTCTTTAGAGAAATGTGGCTCTTTTTCATGGTGCTATTTTCTATGTCCAGCTACACAACGAGATGAGGATGGTCATTGTCATTTTCTGAGCTGCCAACAGGCAGAAAGGTGAGAAAATGTCGGATTTTGACCATTTGTGCTGACCTTTCAATTTCAACGTACCTCTCTATAACATGACCCAGCTGCAATTTCAGAGGTCGCATTGGTTTCATTTTTGGTGTGCTTGTAGGGCGCTGGCACCCGCATTCAGTGACCCACAAAATTTGGCACTGCTGTGGATAGTTTAGTCGCAAAGTGAAGATTCACGGGTAAAAAGCCCCAAACTTCTAGATAAGTTCTTTTTCAGCTTTCAGCAGCCCTGGGTGAGTTCTTTAGAGAAATGTTGCTCTTTTTCATGGTGCTATTTTCTATGTCCAGCTACACAACGAGATGAGGATGGTCATTGTCATTTTCTGAGCTGCGAACGGGCAGAAAGGTGAGAAAATGTCGGATTTTGACCATTTGTGCTGACCTTTCAATTTCAACGTACCTCTCTATAACATGACCCAGCTGTAATTTCAGTGGTCGCATTGGTTTGATTTTTGGTTTACTTGTAGGGCGTTGGCACCCGCATTCAGTGACCCAGAAAATTTGGCACTGCTGTGAATAGTTTAGTCGCAAAGTGAAGATTCACGGGTAAAAAGCCCCAAACTTCAAGATAGGTTCTTTTTCAGCTTTCAGCAGCCCTGGGCGAGTTCTTTAGAGAAATGTGGGTCTTTTTCTTGGTGCTCTTGTCTATGTCCAGCTACAGAACGAGATGAGGATGGTCATTGTCATTTTCTGAGCTGCGAACGGGCAGAAAGGTGAGAAAATGTCGGATTTTGACCATTTGTGCTGACCTTTCAATTTCAACGTACCTCTCTATAACATGACCCAGCTGTAATTTCAGTGGTCGCATTGGTTTCATTTTTGGTTTGCTTGTAGGGCGCTGGCACCCGCATTCAGTGACCCAGGAAATTTGGCACTGCTGTGAATACTTTAGTCGCAAAGTGAAGATTCACGGGTAAAAAGCCCCAAACTTCTAGATAGGTTCTTTTTCAGCTTTCAGCAGCCCTGGGTGAGTTCTTTAGAGAAATGTGGCTCTTTTTCATGGTGCTATTTTCTATGTCCAGCTACACAACCAGATGAGGATGGTCATTGTCATTTTCTGAGCTGCGAACGGGCAGAAAGGTGAGAAAATGTCGGATTTTGACCATTTGTGCTGACCTTTCAATTTCAACGTACCTCTCTATAACATGACCCAGCTGCAATTTCAGTGGTCGCATTGGTTTCATTTTTGGTGTGCTTGTAGGGCGCTGGCACCCGCATTCAGTGACCCAGAAAATTTGGCACTGCGGTGGATAGTTTAGTCGCAAAGTGAAGATTCACGGGTAAAAAGCCCCAAACTTCTAGATAAGTTCTTTTTCAGCTTTCAGCAGCCCTGGGTGAGTTCTTTAGAGAAATGTGGCTCTTTTTCATGGTGCTATTTTCTATGTCCAGCTACACAATGAGATAAGGATGGTCATTGTCATTTTCTGAGCTGCGAACGGGCAGAAAGGTGAGAAAATGTCGGATTTTGACCATTTGTGCTGACCTTTCAATTTCAACGTACCTCTCTATAACATGACCCAGCTGTAATTTCAGTGGTCGCATTGGTTTGATTTTTGCTTTGCTTGTAGAGCGCTGGCACCCGCATTCAGTGACTCACAAAATTTGGCACTGCTGTGAATAGTTTAGTCGCAAAGTTAAGATTCACGGGTAAAAAGCCCCAAACTTCAAGATAGGTTCTTTTTCAGCTTTCAGCAGCCCTGGGCGAGTTCTTTAGAGAAATGTGGGTCTTTTTCTTGGTGCTCTTGTCTATGTCCAGCTACACAACGAGATGAGGATGGTCATTGTCATTTTCTGAGCTGCGAACGGGCAGAAAGGTGAGAAAATGTCTGATTTTGACCATTTGTGCTGACCTTTCAATTTCAACGTACCTCTCTATAACATGACCCAGCTGTAATTTCAGTGGTCGCATTGGTTTGATTTTTGGTTTGCTTGTAGGGCGCTGGCACCCGCATTCAGTGACCCAGAAAATTTGGCACTGCTGTGGATAGTTTAGTCGCAAAGTGAAGATTCACGGGTAAAAAGCCCCAAACTTCTAGATAGGTTCCTTTTCAGCTTTCACCAGCCCTGGGCGAGTAATTTAGAGAAATGTGGCTCTTTTTCATGGTGCTATTTTCTATGTCCAGCTACACAACGAGATGAGGATGGTCATTGTCATTTTCTGAGCTGCGAACGGGCAGAAAGGTGAGAAAATGTCTGATTTTGACCATTTGTGCTGACCTTTCAATTTCAACGTACCTCTCTATAACATGACCCAGCTGTAATTTCAGTGGTCGCATTGGTTTGATTTTTGGTTTGCTTGTAGGGCGCTGGCACCCGCATTCAGTGACCCAGAAAATATGGCACTGCTGTGGATAGTTTTGTCGCAAAGTGAAGATTCACGGGTAAAAAGCCCCAAACTTCTAGATAAGTTCTTTTTCAGCTTTCAGCAGCCCTGGGTGAGTTCTTTAGAGAAATGTGGCTCTTTTTCATGGTGCTATTTTCTATGTCCAGCTACACAACGAGATGAGGATGGTCATTGTCATTTTCTGAACTGCGAACGGGCAGAAAGGTGAGAAAATGTCGGATTTTGACCATTTGTGCTGACCTTTCAATTTCAACGTACCTCTCTATAACATGACCCAGCTGTAATTTCAGTGGTCGCATTGGTTTCATTTTTGGTTTGCTTGTAGGGCGCTGGCACCCGCATTCAGTGACCCAGAAAATTTGGCACTGCTGTGGATAGTTTAGTCGCAAAGTGAAGATTCACGGGTAAAAAGCCCCAAACTTCTAGATAGGTTCTTTTTCAGCTTTCAGCAGCCCTGTGTGAGTTCTGTAGAGAAATGTGGCTCTTTTTAGTGGTGCTAATTTCTATGTCCAGCTGCACAACGAGATGAGGATGGTCATTGTCATTTTCTGAGCTGCGAACGTGCAGAAAGGTGAGAAAATGTCGGATTTTGACCATTTGTGCTGACCTTTCAATTTCAACGTACCTCTCTATAACATGACCCAGCTGTAATTTCAGTGGTCGCATTGGTTTGATTTTTGGTTTGCTTGTAGGGCGCTGGCACCCGCATTCATTGACTCAGAAAATTTGCCACTGCTGTGAATAGTTTAGTCGCAAAGTGAAGATTCACGGGTAAAAAGCCCCAAACTTCTAGATAGGTTCTTTTTCAGCTTTCAGCAGCCCTGGGCGAGTACTTTAGAGATATGTGGCTCTTTTTTATGGTGCTATTTTCTATGTCCAGCTACACAACGAGATGAGGATGGTCATTGTCATTTTCTGAGCTGCGAACGGGCAGAAAGGTGAGAAAATGTCTGATTTTGACCATTTGTGCTGACCTTTCAATTTCAACGTACCTCTCTATAACATGACCCAGCTGTAATTTCAGTAGTCGCATTGGTTTCATTTTTGGTTTGCTTGTAGGGCGCTGGCACCCGCATTCAGTGACCCAGAAAATTTGGCACTGCTGTGGATAGTTTAGTCGCAAAGTGAAGATTCACGGGTAAAAAGCCCCAAACTTCAAGATAGGTTCTTTTTCAGCTTTCAGCAGCCCTGGGTGAGTTCTTTAGAGAAATGTGGGTCTTTTTCTTGGTGTTCTTGTCTATGTCCAGCTACACAACGAGATGAGGATGGTCATTGTCATTTTCTGAGCTGCGAACGGGCAGAAAGGTGAGAAAATGTCGGATTTTGACCATTTGTGCTGACCTTTCAATTTCAACGTACCTCTCTATAACATGACCCAGCTGTAATTTCAGTGGTCGCATTGGTTTCATTTTTGGTGTGCTTGTAGGGCGCTGGCACCCGCATTCAGTGACCCAGAAAATTTGGCACTGCTGTGAATAGTTCAGTCGCAAAGTGAAGATTCACGGGTAAAAAGCCCCAAACTTCTAGGTACGTTCCTTTTCAGCTTTCAGCAGCCCTGGGCGAGTACTTTAGAGAAATGTGGCTCTTTTTCACGGTGCTCTTGTCTATGTCCAGCTACACAACGATATGAGGATGATCATTGTCATTTTCTGAGCTGCGAACGGGCAGAAAGGTGAGAAAATTCTGGATTTTGACCATTTGTGCTGACCTTTCAATTTCAACGTACCTCTCTATAACATGACCCAGCTGTAATTTCAGTGGTCGCATTGGTTTCATTTTTGGTTTGCTTGTAGGGCGCTGGCACCCGCATTCAGTGACCCAGAAAATATGGCACTGCTGTGGATAGTTTAGTCGCAAAGTGAAGATTCACGGGTAAAAAGCCCCAAACTTCTAGATAAGTTCTTTTTCAGCTTTCAGCAGCTCTGGGTGAGTTCTTTAGAGAAATGTGGCTCTTTTTCATGGTGGTATTTTCTATGTCCAGCTACACAACGAGATGAGGAAGGGTCATTGTCATTTTCTGAGCTGCGAACGGGCAGAAAGGTGAGAAAATGTCTGATTTTGACCATTTGTGCTGACCTTTCAATTTCAACGTACCTCTCTATAACATGACCCAGCTGTAATTTCAGTGGTCGCATTGATTTGATTTTTGGATTGCTTGTAGGGCGATGGCACCCGCATTCAATGACCCAGAAAATTTGGCACTGCTGTGAATAGTTTAGTCGCAAAGTGAAGATTCACGGGTAAAAAGCCCCAAACTTCTAGATAGGTTCTTTTTCAGCTTTCAGCAGCCCTGGGCGAGTTCTTTAGAGAAATGTGGCTCTTTTCTTGGTGCTCTTGTCTTTGTCCAGCTAACCAACGAGATGAGGATGGTCATTGTCATTTTCTAAGCTGCGAACGGGCAGAAAGGTGAGAAAATGTCGGATTTTGACCATTTGTGCTGACCTTTCAATTTCAACATACCTCTCTATAACATGACCCAGCTGTAATGCCATCGGTCGCATTGGTTTCATTTTTGGTTTGCTTGTAGGGCGCTGTCACCCACAGTCAGTGACCCTAAAAATTTGGCACTGCTGTGAATAGTTTATTCGCAAAGTGAAGATTCACGGGTAAAAAGCCCCAAACTTCTAGATAGGTTCTTTTTCAGCTTTCAGCAGCCCTGGGCGAGTTCTTTAGAGAAATGTGGGTCTTTTTCTTGGTGCTCTTGTCTATGTCCAGCTACACAACGAGATGAGGATGGTCATTGTCATTTTCTGAGCTGCGAACGGGCAAAAAGGTGAGAAAATGTCGGATTTTGACCATTTGTGCTGACCTTTCAATATCAACGTACCTCTCTATAACATGACCCAGCTGCAATTTCAGTGGTCGCATTGGTTTGATTTTTGGTGTGCTTGTAGGGCGCTGGCACCCGCATTCAGTGACCCAGAAAATTTGGCACTGCTGTGGATAGTTTAGTCGCAAAGTGAAGATTCACGGGTAAAAAGCCCCAAACTTCTAGATAGGTTCTTTTTCAGCTTTCAGCAGCCCTGGGTGAGTTCTTTAGAGAAATGTGGCTCTTTTTCATGGTGCTATTTTCTATGTCCAGCTACACAACGAGATGAGGATTGTCATTGTCATTTTCTGAGCTGCGAACGGGCAGAAAGGTGAGAAAATGTCGGATTTTGACCATTTGTGCTGACCTTTCCATTTCAACGTACCTCTCTATAACATGACCCAGCTGCAATTTCAGTGGTCGCATTGGTTTCATTTTTGGTGTGCTTGTAGGGCGCTGGCACCCGCATTCAGTGACCCAGAAAATTTGGCACTGCTGTGGATAGTTAAGTCGCAAAGTGAAGATTCACGGGTAAAAAGCACCAAACTTCTAGATAAGTTCTTTTTCAGCTTTCAGCAGCCCTGGGTGAGTTCTTTAGAGAAATGTGGCTCTTTTTCATGGTGCTATTTTCTATGTCCAGCTACACAACGAGATGAGGAAGGGTCATTGTCATTTTCTGAGCTGCGAACGGGCAGAAAGGTGAGAAAATGTCGGATTTTGACCATTTGTGCTGACCTTTCAATTTCAACGTACCTCTCTATAACATGACCCAGCTGTAATTTCAGTGGTCGCATTGGTTTGATTTTTGGTTTGCTTGTAGGGCGCTGGCACCCGCATTCAGTGACCGAGAAAATTTGGCACTGCTGTGAATAGTTTAGTCGCAAAGTGAAGATTCACGGGTAAAAAGCCCCAAACTTCTAGATAGGTTCTTTTTCAGCTTTCAGCAGCCCTGGGTGAGTTCTTTAGAGAAATGTGGCTCTTTTTCATGGTGCTATTTTCTATGTCCAGCTACACAACGAGATGAGGATGGTCATTGTCATTTTCTGAGCTGCGAACGGGCAGAAAGGTGAGAAAATGTCGGATTTTGACCATTTGTGCTGACCTTTCCATTTCAACGTACCTCTCTATAACATGACCCAGCTGTAATTTCAGTGGTCGCATTGGTTTCATTTTTGGTTTGCTTGTAGGGCGCTGGCACCCGCATTCAGTGACCCAGAAAATTTGGCACTGCTGTGAATAGTTTAGTCGCAAAGTGAAGATTCACGGGTAAAAAGCCCCAAACTTCTAGATAGGTTCTTTTTCAGCTTTCCGCAGCCCTGGGTGAGTTCTTTAGAGAAATGTGGCTCTTTTTCATGGTGCTATTTTCTATGTCTAGCTACACAACGAGATGAGGATGGTCATTGTCATTTTCTGAGCTGCGAACGGGCAGAAAGGTGAGAAAATGTCGGATTTTGACCATTTGTGCTGACCTTTCAATTTCAACGTACCTCTCTATAACATGACCCAGCTGCAATTTCAGTGGTCGCATTAGTTTCATTTTTGGTGTGCTTGTAGGGCGCTGGCACCCGCATTCAGTGACCCAGAAAATTTGGCACTGCTGTGGATAGTTTAGTCGCAAAGTGAAGATTCACGGGTAAAAAGCACCAAACTTCTAGATAAGTTCTTTTTCAGCTTTCAGCAGCCCTGGGTGAGTTCTTTAGAGAAATGTGGCTCTTTTTCATGGTGCTATTTTCTATGTCCAGCTACACAACGAGATGAGGATGGTCATTGTCATTTTCTGAGCTGCGAACGGGCAGAAAGGTGAGAAAATGTCGGATTTTGACCATTTGTGCTGCCCTTTCAATTTCAACGTACCTCTCTATAACATGACCCAGCTGTAATTTCAGTGGTCGCATAGGTTTGATTTTTGGTTTCCTTGTAGGGCGCTGGCACCCGAATTCAGTGACCCAGAAAATTTGGCACTGCTGTGGATAGTTTAGTCGCAAAGTGAAGATTCACGGGTAAAAAGCCCCAAACTTCTAGATAGGTTCTTTTTCAGCTTTCAGCAGCCCTGTGTGAGTTCTGTAGAGAAATGTGGTTCTTTTTGATGGTGCTAATTTCAATATCCAGCTGCACAACGAGATGAGGATGGTCATTGTCATTTTCTGAGCTGCGAACGGGCAGAAAGGTGAGAAAATGTCGGATTTTGACCATTTGTGCTGACCTTTCAATTTCAACGTACCTCTCTATAACATGACCCAGCTGTAATTTCAGTGGTCGCATTGGTTTCATTTTTGGTTTGCTTGTAGGGCGCTGGCACCCGCATTAAGTGACCCAGAAAATTTGGCACTGCTGTGAATAGTTTAGTCGCAAAGTGAAGATTCACGGGTAAAAAGCCCCAAACTTCTAGATAAGTTCTTTTTCAGCTTTCAGCAGCCCTGGGTGAGTTCTTTAGAGAAATGTGGTTCTTTTTCTTGGTGCTCTTGTCTATGTCCAGCTACACAACGAGATGAGGATGGTCATTGTCATTTTCTGAGGTGCGAACGGGCAGAAAGGTGAGAAAATGTCGGATTTTGACCATTTGTGCTGACCTTTCAATTTCAACGTACCTCTCTATAACATGACCCAGCTGCAATTTCAGTGGTCGCATTGGTTTCATTTTTGGTTTGCTTGTAGGGCGCTGGCATCCGCATTCAGTGACCCAGAAAATTTGGCACTGCTGTGGATAGTCTAGTCGCAAAGTGAAGATTCACGGGTAAAAAGCCCCAAACTTCTAGATAAGTTCTTTTTCAGCTTTCAGTAGCCCTGGGTGAGTTCTTTAGAGAAATGTGGCTCTTTTTCATGGTGCTATTTTCTATGTCCAGCTACACAACGAGATGAGGATGGTCATTGTCATTTTCTGAGCTGCGAACGGGCAGAAAGGTGAGAAAATGTCGGATTTTGACCATTTGTGCTGACCTTTCAATTTCAACGTACCTCTCTATAACATGACCCAGCTGTAATTTCAGTGGTCGCATTGGTTTGATTTTTGGTTTGCTTGTAGGGCGCTGGCACCCGCATTCAGTGACCGAGAAAATTTGGCACTGCTGTGAATAGTTTAGTCGCAAAGTGAAGATTCACGGGTAAAAAGCCCCAAACTTCAAGATAAGTTCTTTTTCAGCTTTCAGCAGCCCTGGGTGAGTTCTTTAGAGAAATGTGGCTCTTTTTCATGGTGCTATTTTCTATGTCCAGCTACACAACGAGATGAGGAAGGGTCATTGTCATTTTCTGAGCTGCGAACGGGCAGAAAGGTGAGAAAATGTCGGATTTTGACCATTTGTGCTGACCTTTCAATTTCAACGTACCTCTCTATAACATGACCCAGCTGTAATTTCAGTGGTCGCATTGGTTTGATTTTTGGTTTCCTTGTAGGGCGCTGGCACCCGCATTCAGTGACCCAGAAAATTTGGCACTGCTGTGAATACTTTAGTCGCAAAGTGAAGATTCACGGGTAAAAAGCCCCAAACTTCTAGATAGGTTCTTTTTCAGCTTTCAGCAGCCCTGGGTGAGTTCTTTAGAGAAATGTGGGTCTTTTTCTTGGTGCTCTTGTCTATGTCCAGCTACACAACGAGATGAGGATGGTCATTGTCATTTTCTGAGCTGCGAACGGGCAGAGAGGTGAGAAAATGTCGGATTTTGACCATTTGTGCTGACCTTTCAATTTCAACGTACCTCTCTATAACATGACCCAGCTGTAATTTCAGTGGTCGCATTGGTTTCATTTTTGGTTTGCTTGTAGGGCGCTGGCACCCGCATTCAGTGACCCAGAAAATTTGGCACTGCTGTGAATAGTTTAGTCGCAAAGTGAAGATTCACGGGTAAAAAGCCCCAAACTTCTAGATAGGTTCTTTTTCAGCTTTCAGCAGCCCTGGGTGAGTTCTTTAGAGAAATGTGGGTCTTTTTCTTGGTGTTCTTGTCTATGTCCAGCTACACAACGAGATGAGGATGGTCATTGTCATTTTCTGAGCTGCGAACGGGCAGAAAGGTGAAATAATGTCGGATTTTGACCATTTGTGCTGACCTTTCTATTTCAACGTACCTCTCTATAACATGACCCAGCTGTAATTTCAGTGGTCGCATTGGTTTCATTTTTGGTTTGCTTGTAGGGCGCTGGCACCTGCATTCAGTGACCCAGAAAATTTGGCACTGCTGTGGATAGTTTAATCGCAAAGTGAAGATTCACGGGTAAAAAGCCCCAAACTTCTAGATAGGTTCTTTTTCAGCTTTCAGCAGCCCTGGACGAGTTTTTTAGAGAAATGTGGCTCTTTTTCTTGGTTCTATTTTCTATGTCCATCTACACAACGAGATGAGGATGGTCATTGTCATTTTCTGAGCTGCGAACGGGCAGAAAGGTGAGAAAATGTCGGATTTTGACCATTTGTGCTGACCGTTCAATTTCAACGTACCTCTCTATAACATGACCCAGCTGCAATTTCAGTGGTCGCATTGGTGTGATTTTTGGTGTGCTTGTAGGGCGCTGGCACCCGCATTCAGTGACCCAGAAAATTTGGCACTGCTGTGGATAGTTTAGTCGCAAAGTGAAGATTCACGGGTAAAAAGCCCCAAACTTCTAGATAAG